ACACACCAAGCTGGGTCACCAGACCCCTTCACGCAGGTCTATGAACTAGGTAACCAGCCAAAAGGTCCTTGAAAGCTGTAGGTTGGAAAGCATGGCTGCACTGGGCGGATGCCCAAGGCAGATGCCCGCCCACCTGCTTCACTAAAACTCCCTCTCTGTCTCTCTCTCTCTCTCTCAAGAACACAAGAATAGCAACAAAACTAAAAAGATACATTGGTGCACATGTGCACTAACTCCACACACACACAAAATTTGCTTACAAAGGATGTGCTAAACCACACCCAACAGGACCGAGGCAAGGGCCCTGACCAAACTATTCTATTTTCCCAACATGCAGTAAACATGGGAGTACAGGTATTCCTTCGAAATGATGATTCTGAATCCTCTGGGCATATTCCCAGAAGTGGGATAGCTGGGTCATATGGTAGATCTATCTGCAATTGTTTGAGGAACCTCCATACCATTTTCCATAAAGGCTGCACCATTTTACAGCCCCAACAAAAGCATAGGAGGGTTCCTTTTTGTCCACATCCTCATCAACATTTATTATTCTCAGTTTTTTGAATATTAGCCATCCTAACTGGAGTGAGATGATCTCTCAAAGTGGTTTTGATTTGCATTTCCTGAATGCTGAGTGATGTCCAACATTTTTTCATGTGCCTGTGAACAACAAATCTTCGAATGATGAATAGTTGAGCTGACAAATAAAAGGGGCAGAGTGTTCAAAGCAGAGGTACTAGAAGTGCAAAAGCATGAAGATTTCCATATTCAAAGAGATATCAAAAGAGGTCAGTATTGTTGGAACACAGAGAAAGTACAAAGAGGGTGGGTATCAGGATGAAGCTTGAAACCAAAAACAGAGGTCAGTACATAATGAGTATTGAATAAGTCCCTTTAAGGAACTTGCACTTTATTCTTTCCACGTTGGGGAGTCACTGAAAAATTTTTAACAGGAAAGTGACATGATCAGAGTTGTGTTCGTCAGGATAACTCTGGTGTACTATATAGGATGAATTAGGGGTGACTGAGGCTAAAGACAAGAAGATTCCAGGAGGCTGTTGCAGTGGTCCAGGTAAGAGATGACAAAGGCTTGCTAAGGTTGGTTCTAAGGACCTGGAGAAAAAGTGCAGATTTGAGGAATATTCTGGAAGTGGGGCCATTAATATTTAGGGAGCAATTAAATGCCAGGTGTAAGACTGAGGGAAAAGTTGAGGTTTCTGATTTCCATGATTAACTACAGTTTTCCAAGTTAAAAAACTGAAGATGAGGCAGAGGATTGGAGGAGATGGTGAGTCTGGTTATGAACAGACGGAGATGCTGAGGAGAAACCCAGCTGGAGGTGTTCTGTCATCAGTTGAGTATATTGGTTGGTGTTTCTAAAAGACATCTCAGGGCAGAAGATAACAGGTTTGGGTATCAGCCTCTTGCAGATATTATTTAAAATTTTGGCCATGGATTCGATTGCTAAGGAAGGAGTAGACTAAGAAAAGAACAAAATGTTCAGACTACCAGCACTTAAGGAACAAGCGGACAAAAAAAGATCCTGTGGAAAATATAATTTGCCAGCTGCTGACTCTAAACAAGGCTGGTTCTCTCGGGTTCATGCTTCAGGTCCTCTTGTATTACTTGTCCCCACCTCCAGCTCCTTTTACATTTAGCTAGCCAGTGCTATTCCATTGTTGATATCAGCCCATGATTATCATCTGTTGTGGGAAGGCTTCCCTCAATAGCAGAATGTAGATTCCACGCCCTCTCGAAGATCTCTATGTTAACTTGCATCCTAAACTTCCCATTCCACTTCATAATCATCTTTTGTGTGTTTTCATTCCTCCACAAGACTGGGAGCTCCTTAAGAGATGGTAATATGTCTTTTATCTTTATCTTCAGAATATTAAGAGTCAGGCGTATAGTAGATGTGCAAATGTTTCATGAATGAATTAAAGGACACTCCATTATTCACCCTATTACTTCCTGCTAATAGCTTCATGACTCTCTACTTCAGCTTCTTCTATCTGCTTCCAGCACTTCTCATTTGGGCAGCCTCTTTGAACTTTGTATTCTAGCCAACTTCCTCAGGAATGAGGAAGGGATGGTGTTGCCCTTGTCACGGCTTCCGTCTTCCACCTAAAAACACTGTTGAGCCCCTCCTGATCCTGGCCAACCCCAACACAGGCCAGAATGATGCTGTCAAATCCAAACCAATGCCTTTTGTACCTTGATCTTGTGACTATTGCTTTAACAAGTTGGTCCCTGCAATGGTCGACTATCCTATGAGTGAGAAGTTAATGGTGTTAGTGGTCACTGAGGCCTCCCATCATATATATATATACACACAGACACACACACACACACACACACACACACACACATATATATATATATAAGCACATACATGCATATATGTATGTATGCATTATCCAGATAGAAGAGGCTAGCACCGAAGCACTTTGCCTCCCTAGTGGTCCCAAAGGCCTTTAAGTGATCATCTGAGATTTTTGATAGCCCTTCATCCAAATGGCACCTTCTGGTAAGCAAACATTTACATCTAATAGCTCTTCTCAAGTCAAAAACAGGTCTAGAAGGCCTGACCGACTGTGTACCTATGTTAAATCCATATATACCCTAGGCGATGTCATTGTAAGGGACCTCAATTCAGTCTTGTTCTCCTCCTCCCAAGACTTCAATGACATGATTGTGCCAAATGTTATCACTTAGTAGGGCAGACCCCATCTTCCCACCCAGGGAGAGGAATTCAGACCAGTTGAGAAAGTAAAAATAAGCCATCTAAGTAGTAGCAAAGGATCAGCATAATGGCATCACTGAAGTTAAACAAGTGAGCATTTTAAGAAGAAATTGAGTGGTCAATGGCAGTAAAAAC